TAGGGAGCAAAGGTAATTTTCTGCCACTTATCAGCCTCCTGATCTTAGCAGCAATTGGGGCTGAATAGTATAGAAGGGTGAAAGTTACTCTAATGTGCACAGGTTGTGATTATTCCTAAGGCTCTACCATCTGCAGAGAAGCCCTCCTCTCCCCTTCAGGGCTTCTTTCCTTCCTGTGCAGCTCAAGGGGAGCAATCAAGGGTTAAGGAGCTGACCTTGAGTCTTCCCTCATATTTTTTCCAGTATTTGCAGTGGTAAATGGACACAGAAGTATTTAGCAACAATGCTAATTTCTTGTCTTCTTTGGAAATGTAACATTTTGATGCATTCCAGAAAACCCTACGGATTTCTTACACCTGTACCACCTGTTTTCTTGTTGCAGACTTGTGTGGCTGCTGCAAAGGGTTTGGCTGTACACTGGCTCTTAGTGTCAGCAGCTGTCGAGCAGCAAAAGCTACCTTTGACTCTTATTACAAGTCCTATGCATGTCTGGAGATGGGCTGAGGGACACAGTTTAGGATCTATGGTGTGCTCTTCGCTCGCACATATAGAAAGATATCTTATTATTCTGCACCACCAAGTGGCCAGAATAAGCAGATATTGCAAGATATCTTTGGATCCAGGCTTACTGCATTAACCCAGATGGGTTTGGTTAAGTTATGGAACTTCATACTGGCCTGAACTAGCAACTAGGAAAAAAAAACTGTTTTAACATAAAGCCTCATGTTTTGAAAGAAGCAAGTGTCACATATTCTCTGACATCCCTTAAGGTGTTCCTGAAGGTGTATTGTCAGAACTACTTCAGCTCTTATATTACACAGAGCCCTTTGGTGGGCTGCAGGGCTGCACACCCAAAACTCAGGCATGTTTTAAGTATTTCAGATAAGTAACTCAAAACTGGCGGATGGTTCTGTAAATATGAGGCCAATATTTCTGAGTATCAATGAAGTGATTGTCAGAAGTAGGAAGAAAATGCGCCTATCTTCGTTCTTTACCATTACAGTTTAATTCCACTATCTTTAAAGCCTGGTAAAAAACAAAGATGGCATCTCATCCAGAAAAATGCATTACATGGTCTAAATGGGAGCTATTTTCCCATTCTTTTGTACCTTATGTCCCTTGTGCTCAGGAGGGTTCAAAGTTGAACTCTTATGTCGTCACTCTAGAGGTACACATCAGAGTGAGGTCTGTTGCTGGCCAACATTACTTGTCCGAAGTCTCCTCATGACATAACAGGTGATCCCAACTGACAACATTCCGTATCGCATTGAATATACAGTATTGATATTCGAAAAGGGCAGGGAGCGGTCCTCCATTCTGTTTCTGGGAATATCAGTTAATGTATCAGGAAATTTCTTCTTTCAAGGACTTCTGCTTTCCGCGCTTCCCAAATCCCTGTTGGGGAGGGGAATTAATCCTACCCATCCCTGCTGTACTCACCATAAAGCTTCTTTTTATCTATGGAGTTCCAGTGAACAATGAAGCAACTCAGCTTCATTCTGAAGATATATATTATCCCCCTAAACCTTTAATAAAAATGCAGTCCTACAGTATGTTCTAGGCTTTTGTATGCTTCATTCCACATATAATTTTACATATAAAATTGACTATAATTCACAGTGGATGGCTAGCATAGTCATTACAGATTTCCCTGTTGATTCGTATTTAGCATTTTATCAGTCTGCAGATTGTTGTCGATGTGCAAGTAGAAAAGAATGTTACAGCTGGTTCTGCTACTAACTTCCAAACTTTTTGTAAAATAGACACAGCGTGTGTTTAGTATAGGTGAAAGTGTAAGTAATAGTAAGCTAACCCAAACAAGAAGAGATTAATGTATACATCAACATACAACCTGAATTGCGGAGTTACCTGTAAGAGTGACTATTTCAGCTAAATTTTTTGCCTTTTCCTGGGATAATTTCATCAGACGTAAGAAGGGAAGCTTCACGGTCAGATAGTTGGAATTCCATCCCTTATTTTGTTTATTTTTGTCTCAGTTTGGGGAAAGCAAATTTTGCTCTTCTTCATTAGTACACTGAAGGAAATTGAAGCATTGCATTGCACAGTGTAAAATATTATCACAAATGAGTCTATTTTAAAATAAAGAAAGGCCCTCCAAATAAAGAAAAAACCTCCGGATAGCCGTATCATTGAAGGAAGGTTGGTCAGCTTTGCGGAAATGCTGTTAGACATGAAGCCACCAAAAAAGAAATAAAAGCAAGTATGGTATCTTAAGATACATGTATGCAATAGGCTTTCGTTCTGATAAAGGAGGGAGAAAAAGATGTTAATGAGTTGGGTCACTGGCTGAGGAGCTTAAATAATATTTTCATAACTAATATTTCCTTAAATAATATTTTGCTTAAGTCTCATTTCAGAGTGTCTCACGGGCTCACTAGTCTTTTACTGAAAGTCTTTCTTACCTGGCTTTCTGTGGGCCACATGGATAGGTAGTCGCTGGGAGTTAGGAACCCAGCTCAGTGCTTTATGCCTTCATGTATTTCAATGGGAGCCAGGCTTTTAGCCTGCCTGAGTATCTCAATCAATCCTTAGGTTTACAAGTATTTAGATCCCTAAATATTTGTCAGTGCCCGGCCTTGTAACCATATTCAGACAGCATAATTTCACTTGTGTCCCTGCATCTGGAAATTCATAGTTCCCTATCACATGTGACATTTTAGTTCTGTGAATTGAGCCTTGGAGGCCTTCAAAGAAAATTCTCTGACTTGGACACATTTGGGGTTGGACACAGGCCATACACATAGAGCCTTAATGCTTGTGTTTCTTTTGAAAGTGGAATTTTTTAAGTCCCTCGTAAGCCCCGAGGTCACAGTAGCAAGCCTCGGTCCTGACCTGTGTGTGCTCCCTGATGGCCGAGGAACTGAGACGTAAAATTGGGATGGAGGCATTCAGAAACGCTCGGAGGGATTTTATGTATGTGCCTCGCCATTCCTGATGTAATGCATGGCAGTACAGGAGAACTCTAGCAGGGATAAAAGCAGATGTTGAAAAACCAAACACGAATGCTGGAAATGTAAGTGTGCTTCTGATTATTTAAATAAGAACAAATGAAGAAGGAAGAATAAAGAGGAAAGGCATTTGTCTGGAGTGCCGTGATGCCTGGAGACCTCTGCCACGATCAGAGAGACATTGTGCTGAGCACGCTGCGAAGAATTAGCAAAAGAGTGCTCCAGGAGGACTTGCACACCAAATAAGTAAATCAGTCAAATACGATCATCCACATTTTACAGCTGATACTGAGAAGCAGAGAAAGATGAAGTGACTTGTCTGAGAATTGATTCCAGATTTGTCCCGGGCTCTGCGCACATCTCCACCTTTGAAAGCAGTGCCACACTGGGAGAAGAAATCGTTGGCTACCACCAAGGCGTGGGAGGTCACAAATTGAATGTTGTGTTGTGCTGCCGGTGGGACGGATCCTCGCTTTGCCAGTCCGTGGCCTGCAGCAGGGATGGCAAAGCACCCTGAGGTTGTCTCTGTATCGACTGATTGCGTTCGACCCATGGCAGTGCTCCCGCAGCGGCAGGCAGCGACGGGGTGATGCTCAGGGCTAAGGATTTGCCAGTTTTGATCTTTGATATGGCAGCACTTGGGGGGTGATATATCTATAGGATCCCAAATTGTAAATGATCACTTGCAAATGTCCTTTGACTCCAAAAAAAGACAGGGCTTTAGAGCTTGAGGATTGCTTTAAATTTAGATTGAAAGTCCCTTCTTTCTGATGAGGTAGCCGCAGGAGACCACCACTGCTCGTGTGCACTGCTCCGGACTAGGTATTGCCACTGCCATCGGAGCTGGAAGCTTTGTAGACCACCTCCAGTAGACCAAATGTACAGAATAACGTGACAGATTCATTCAAAGTCTTCCCTCAATTTTGTGCCGCATGGTTATTTCCCTGTTGCACCTCAGGACACAGTGGAGGTCTTTCCTCAAAACCATCACCAGGTCAAGCAGGCAAAGCTGGATGCTCTGCTTACCTTCTTTGCTTCATCCACAGGATCCATATGTCATTCCTGGGATTAAACCCTGGCACTGTTTGGAGTCAGTGAGAGTTTTGTCAATGGTTTTCAAGGCAATGAGGATTTCATCCTTTGTTCATCCTGTGCCGGCTGGGCTAACGATGTTCAATTAGAAACCACTCTTTGTTCTAGTGCAGTCGAAAGGATTTTTGCCAGTGATTTGAATGAGAATTGGATAATGCTTATGGCTAAACCCAGTGCTTTTGCAGAAATCCATGGACCTTACTGAATTGCTTTTCTCCCAGTGAAATTAATGGGAGCTGTATGAGAACATCTGAGGGAAGATTTAGTTCCTGTTTGTAACAATATGTTACCCCCTGATACTGGGCCTGCTCTGAAACGTTTATTGTTAAATCCATGTATTTTTGGTTATATCTCATTAAGAACATAATACAGCCTTGGAAAGTACATTCTGAAAGGGTATTACAACAGGATTGGGATTACTGTTTGTGAGACACTTTGAACTAGGGGGAAATTTCAAATTCAATTTACAGTAATGTCAAAGCACAATTAATATATAGGCAATGATAAGGGGAACATGCAGAAGTACACATTGATAGCACTACATCAACAAATAAACTTTTGGTGCTAGTAATTAGGTACACAAGATTATTATATGTTTAATTGACTAAAGTGACAATTTGGAATTACATCTAGTCACATTTAATTGGGTTTGGAATCTCTAGAGGAAAGGAAACGGAGAGCGGTGTGGAGAGGCAGCCATAAAAGCAAACTGATTTTTCTAAAGTCTGTCAAGACTCTGCATTAATATCCATTGCACAATAGTTTTTTAATATGCCTCAGTCTAGAAAGAGTAATGCAATGATTGTCACAGACAGTGGGAGTACTAAAGCATACTCAATTAGGTAGCAAGATAGCTGACTACTTTTAATTTTGGGGGTTTCCTTTAAAATATAGTTTAACCAAAGGTGAACCATGTCTGAGCTTGCCATAGACAAGTGATATTCCCAGTCTGCTAAGCTACAGGGTGTTATACATGTTGATGCTGTCCTAGAAGAAATGTACTTACATATGATACTTCAGCCACACTAAAATATTGTAGAGCATTCCTTAAATATTTGTTCAGAGTGAAACATGGAAAAGCTATTCAAAGAAAATGTAGGGTTGCTTGCTTGCAGATAGTTTAACGGTAAAAAAATGCTTCCTAATGCTTGTCTTAAAGTTGGACAAAGACTGAGAGTTATGCGTAATCTTTTGATACAAACCTCATGTTATCCTCTTTTAATATTACCTCATTTAAATATTGCTATATATGTCCTTCTCTCCCTGTACACTCATTTATTCTGCTTTTGCCATCAGGAGCACCATGATTGCTGACTATATGTACTGGCTGACAGGAGGCACTGAGCAGCATACAAGCAAGCTCATCAAACTGTATTGGCAGGTAAAAATTGATAGCCCAATGAGGAAGGAGGTGCCTATCTCACTATTAAGACCAAAATGAAGGATTACTGCTTAAAAGACTGCCGACAAAGGTAGCTCTTGGGCATATCAATCAACAGGACACTACATAGTACTACCGTATTTATAATGAAGTAGATTTTCTTGGACTAATTTTAAGGGCAAAATTCAAGGTTGTTAACCCTTGGCTCATACTTCAATTTTATGGACTGCTATAAAATTTAATTCTGGATACTGTATAGTTCCCTAAGCTATTTTTTGTGAAGTCTTCCTACCTTAGTGGCACTTGCCTTTTCCAATTTGCATGATACTAATCCTCTGACACCTTTCCAAACTCTTCAACCGGAAGGGGAGGAAAAAATGACTGTAATGAATGGTCTCAGAGGAACCTGAAGTGCTCTGTGAAGAATGGCTAGGCAAGACCCCAGTCTACAAAGATTACTTATGTGGGGAGTAGACCATTGACTTCAATGAGACTTGTCTTTTGAGTGATACTTATTTGAGCTGTCTTTTCAGCCATATCAGCACAAATTTAAGTTTAAGGGTACCCCCTTCTGCTCTGAGGAGAGCTCTCACACAGACTTGTAGGTGAATGGATGCTAGATCCTTTGCTGGGAGAAGCTTATTGCTGCAGAAGTTTATCACTGCCAGTGGTGTCCCAGCTATCACCCACCCGGTTTCAATGGGACCAAAGTCCATTTCAGAGGTAGCGCAGCACTGGGGCCTCAGGAGGTGGAAGACCCTTCTACCTCCCAGAATGAACCTGGCCCTCAGGTCCTCCTTGTCAATACAAGGAATTTAATGATACTAGGAACAATGTATGTCCCTTGCAATAAAATTTCAGAGTCTGATTCTGATCCCATTTATTTTGGGTTTATTCTGTGAGAACATCTGTGACATATGTACTTTATGTAAAGTGGTGCAAAATAGGTCTGACATAAACCAGCGTAATAAAGATCAGAATCTGGTCTTTTATCTTCACTTACATGGTAAATTCTTCCTTTTTAAAACTATTATTAGTTGCATTCTTATTGGTAAAATGGAATAAATCTCAGTCCTGGGAGCTGCTGAATTTCAGTACCGCTGTGAGTGCAAAGAGCATCTTATTCAGAGAATTACCCACTGGGCTAGTGTTTGCAATGCCTGTGAACTTTCTTATATGCTTTCCAGCAGAGAATTTCTTCTGTATAGAACAGTTTGATTTTTTCCCCACTGGGTCAGACTCGTTTAAAATCTTGAGTTCACAAACAGGTTTTATGAAGGGGTCATTTCTTCGAATGGAATGTCTTTTTTTGTCTCTTAACCCTGGTATCCATTGACTTCCCTTCTTGATGTCATGGACATGAAGCTTCAAAGAATAAACCTTTAAAGGAGGAACTGTCATAGCTGTCCTCTCCCCCAGGCATTCAGACTGTCCTGCTATGTAACAGGGCCGAAAAAGTGACATGAAGGACAAGATTCATCACGATGCCTCCTCACAGAGTCTAAACCAGAAGCTGTGGTTGGGCTAAGGTGGGAATGAAGTAGAACAGAAGTGGAGCTACTGAATCGCTTCCAGCCATTACCATCATCTCCTAGATAGCAAGGGCCAAAGGATTTTGGCAGTGGTAGGACTCCAGTCTCTCTCTGCCTCACTCCAGAGCTCACAGCTCACTTCTCTTCCTGACAGAGAGTTCTTGCGTGGGCCTCCCTGGACCTCCGTAGTACCAAGAGGCACCACCATGCTGTTTGTGCCCCATTCCCACTCGTTCTCTGCCTTTCTCCTGAACCTGAGTTGCTGTCATCTTTGCAGAAGTTTTGAAACGTCAGTAGAGATCTAACCATTTGCTTGATTCCCCCACCGTGCTTGATTTTCACTGGGAGACAGAGATTGCTCTGCAATTTTATGCCTTTTGTGCGTATGCCTTCGCGTGGGCTAGGCTAAGGATTCAGTGGTATCTATATGCTGACACACACGCAGTAGAGGCAGCTGGGTGCCCAGTACGGCTCCCACTCAAGTTAATAGCTGGCACTTAAGAAACACTGTTCCTGAAGATATATCCCCAGCACCAGTAACAACCTTTTCCTTCCCGAGCTGATGAGTTTTGTGCACTCGGCATCAGGGGTGACTTCAATGTCATTAGAGCACACAGCTACAATTATGTAGGATGATGTAGCATGTGACGCTGCACTGGGACTTTCCACTACGCAGAGACCAAGCAGAGGTAGCATAGGCTTTTTTATTAATATTCTCTCTATTTCACGGTGTAAAGCTGAAAATAACTTGTCACGACTATACGTGCTCATGTGCCTTTGTAACCAAAGCAACAGCTATTGATGCACGCTTTTCTTGCTAACTACTCCTCTGCCCCAGAACTCGCTAGCGTTGGCTCACAACCGTGAGCAAAATTTTCTGAGGAGGAAGGGAATAGATGGTGAACAGGACAGTTTGTTTTTCACTTCTGTGAAGAAAGATTTTTAGATCAGATATGTCACTCTCTGCTTTGATCAGTAGGTCATGTATATAATCTGCTGGTGTGTCATTGACTACTTTTGTTATTTCTTTTTACGATTCTTTTAACTGCTGGAAAAGGCTTTTCCTCCTCACAGCCTGTCTTCTACTTCTTTCATGGCTTCAAAACATTGTACAGACCACTCGAATCCTTCAGCTGATGTCTTTACTGCAAAAAATTCAGGCCCTTAATTCACATCTGCAAAGCTCTTTATTATTTATCCTACTTCTAAATCACTGTTTTTTCTCTCCTGATCTATTCCTCATGCTCAGTCTTTATCTTGTATCTCCTTTGGTTTTCTTCTCATGATTTTGGTTTTATACTTTCCTTTGAACTTCTTCTATCCCTGACATCAACTGCCAGGAGTCCTCTTTCTTCAAAACTCAAAACATCCTCAAATCGCTCCCCTCCTCATTATTAACTTTTACACATTTCTTCTTCTTCTTCAGCAGTAATCTGTTCCATGTGACTGTGTACCTCCTCTTAGGCACACTGCAAGGTTTGTACTGCTGGATTTTTAAGGCCAGATGGGCTCATATTGATGAATTATCTGACCTCCTGCATAAAAACACCACAGGATTGCACCCTTACCTTCCTGCACTGGTGCCAAAAGAGGAAAGCAGAGACTGGTTTTGAGAAATCTCCATTTAAATAGTTTAATAATAGAATATTTACCATAACCCATCTAATAGGTGAGTTATTGCATGGTTGTCCCCTGTTTCTCCTCCAGTTTACAAACTGGGATCTTACTTGTCCAGTCCAAACTTCCAGCAGTTTATATTATGCATTCATCTCTGAAAGCTTAAAGATCCTTTAGTACTTGTTATCTTCTCCCTGTATATGTACCTATGGATCATGATCAAGGCAACTTTAAATATTCTTTTTGATTAGCTTTTTGATTAGCTTTCTTTGATTATCCCCTTTAAAGTAAATCATCTATTTCTGGATCTTCTGTACAGTGAGATGTAATATCTAATGCCCTGTGTAGGTTTTGAATATTAATACCTGCCTTCCATTCCACTCTGAGATAAAGGTATAATGCTGATGAGAGGCGAAAAAGTAATTTGCAATGGATAATATTATTCAGTAAGTTGGGCCTTTTTCTCTGTTCAAATATTTTATTCCATGGATTGAAAATATACATTCCAAGTTAACATATAATCAAACGGATGGGCTTTTTTTCATAACCCGCTACAGCATATGCACTGGATGATTTGTGTATTGGCTGTTAGATTAAAAATAGGAGACTTAAATAGAGTTCATCACAGTAAATAATAATGTGAAAGTTATTAAATGCATTATGGTAGATATCTTCAGAGTGGTAGCAGCAAGATAAAGTTTAAACTTACTTATTGCTATAGTCAGGTAAGCTCCCTGGCATTTATTGTCAGCAATGCAATTTCTCAGCTGGTAATAGCAAAACAAACAATAGACTTGAGATATGTCATCCCATAGAAAGAGACCCTCTCCAAACTGTCCAGTTTTACTCACGCCTTTGTAAATTATTTCCACTGGCTCAAAACTCTGCAATATAAGCTGGATGTTTCATTCCATGAGTAAAAATATATCACACCCATACTACAACGTCAAAAGTGCCCAACGTTGTCAAACGTGAACTTTGCAAATACCTTGAAAGTCACAGCCTGATTTCACCAGTATCTGGCACAGACATCTTAGTATACAGTGCCTTTATTACCTAATTTATAAACATCTCAGGCCTAACTCATTAGCACACTACAAATTTAATTGCTTTTATCATGCCATTGTGAAAACCATGTGTCCTCTTTTATACTAAAGCTTTGGCTCTAGCATCCGTTATGCACTTATATCCAAAGTCAACCCCACCTAGCCGAAGTCGTACACCAAGTGCCATTGCACCAGCAACATATATGTTGCAGAAACTAACAGAACCCCAGGAAGGAATTTCAAACTTGTGGGTTCATATCTGTATGCTTCCATAACCATCTGTACTAAAAGCCTTAATTCCATAATGTAGCTAAGGCGTGTTTGCTACAGCTCAAATGGAGACCTTTAATTTGCATTGGAGTAATCTGGGCTTTTAGCTTTAGTTCCAGCTCAATGCCAGTGTTTTGGCCAAGACTGCAGCCACCACAGAGCTGCTCTTAGCACATTGAAAATACTGGCTCTGTGGCTGCTGCACACCAAGCTCACAAACTTGCCTTTCTGAGAAAACTTCTGTCAGCTAAACCCAACATCACAGAAAAGCTTCCAGTAGCACATGCATTGGCTGACACGGAGGTTCGGGTATTCAGACATTTGTTTTGCTCGCTCGTTGCTGTTGTAAACATCAGGTGCTTCCATTTCAAAAATCCGGGCTGTTGCAAGCACAGAGCAATACACACATCACACAATAAAGCAAATGATACCCCAGCCCTGCAAGGTGGCTGAACACCTATGGTGCTGCGATGAATGCTGTCAACTCCTTTAGAGCTCAGCTTTATCTCACACCTTGCGGGGTGATGATCCAAGG